TGTAGGGCACACACCTTTGCCAGAGAGAGAGAGAGAGAGAGAGAGAGAAAAGGGAAATGAGGAATGAGGAATCACTTCCTGGAGGGATGGCCATGCTGCGATTCCCTCTCCTCCAGGCTCCTCTCGGGGCTTGGGATATGCACACACACATGCCCAGCATAATTTTCAAGACATCAAGCCCAGGACTCAAGTTGTACAGCTGGCCACATGGGACACCTTAACCTCCATGCCACCTGCTGGCTGCTGGCCCTAATTTTTTATGTTTTTTTTAAAAATATAGGTGATTGATCATTGAATTCTGATTCATTGTTTCCCTTCTTTTCTAATATGTGCATTCTCTCTATACACATTTTAAATGGTATCCCAATACTCAGAGATGTCACCTTTTCATGAATGTGGAGTCCAAAATACTTTCTAAGCCCTACTGTGATTGTTTCTGAAATCTATAGAGTATTTAGAACTTTATTTCTTATCTTCAAAATAGATGAAGAATTTTAATCACGCTTTTGTTATTGATTTATAGTTTAATTGCAATTATGGTCAGAGAATATGTTCTATATTGTTTTTAACCTTTGAGATTAGTTAATACTTTCCTCATGGCCCAGCATATAGCCAAGTTTTATCATTGTTCAGCGTGTGCTTGAAATGATGTATATCTTGTAATTATTGAATTTTATTTATGCTCATTAGGTACATATTGCAATTGCATTTTTAAAATCACTTCATTTATTATTATTATTATTTTTCTCAATTTGACCAAAGAGAGATAGAGAAAGAGAGAGAGGGAAAGTGAGAAAGCAAGCTGCCAGGTCTGGGACTCGAAACGGTGGTCAGCCATCTGGGAGTACGACGCCTTTAACTACCTCGCCACCTGCCGGCCCCAGATTATACTTAATTTTTAAAACTTTTTAGTGGAGTATACTTATGAATATAGCTGCTCTAGCTTTCTTTGAATGGTATTTGCATAGGAAATACCATTGTTATTATTTTTTAATTATTATTATTTTGTTACTATTTTTCTATCCTTGTACTATCAGTCTTTCTGTATTGTTTTATAAACCACATGCTTTTTGTGTTGCTTTCTTACAAGTTTACTGAGAAAAAGAGAGAGACAGAGACATCCCCACAGGGTTTTTTTCCTGCAGTCTCCTTCCTAGCTCTGCAGCCAGCCAGGATCATGGTATATTTGAGCATGGGATTTAAGCGTAGGCCCACCACAGGGCTCCAGGATCACCCAAAACACCCTACTGCCTATGCTGTGGCTGGGCTTCATATTTACATTCGAAGGATATTTTTGTTAGGTTTAAAATTTTACTTTGACAGGTATTTTAAAGACATTATTTCACCGTTTTCTGCCTTCTTTTGTTTCTCTTGAGAAGTGAGTCGTTGGGCTAATTTCTGCTCCTTTGAAAGTGACACGTCATTCTTCTCAGTCCTCTTTTAAAATAAAATATTGGATTTGGCTGCTATTAGAGCAGGGCTAATTTGCTTCTGGTTTACCTTTATATCTGTAATAGAGCTATTTAAAGTTTCCACCACAAATAATGGGTCCTAGATTTCAATTTTTTTTCATCCAGAGGCTGTCGAAAGAGAGCTTCTTAGTCTCTTGGCTGCCTCATTTGGATCAGCAAAGCCCAAGGGGACAAAATTCTTAACTCACATTTCTAAATCTCCCCTCCCCATGTTTCTTTACCTGTAGGTCTTGTTTCAGTGGTTCTTTATTATCCTTCTTAGCCCTTCACTACACTTAAGCAAGTAAAAAAAAAAAACCTGTCCAGTTTTTTATATTTATTATTATTTTTCTCAATTTGACCAAAGAGAGATAGAGAAAGAGAGAGAGGGAAAGTGAGAAAGCAAGCTGCCAGGTCTGGGACTCGAAACGGTGGTCAGCCATCTGGGAGTACGACGCCTTTAACTACCTCGCCACCTGCCGGCCCCAGATTATAATTAATTTTTAAAACTTTTTAGTGGAGTATACTTATGAATATAGCTGCTCTAGCTTTCTTTGAATGGTATTTGCATAGGAAATACCATTGTTATTATTTTTTAATTATTATTATTTTGTTACTATTTTTCTATCCTTGTACTATCAGTCTTTCTGTATTGTTTTATAAACCACATGCTTTTTGTGTTGCTTTCTTACAAGTTTACTGAGAAAAAGAGAGAGACAGAGACATCCCCACAGGGTTTTTTTCCTGCAGTCTCCTTCCTAGCTCTGCAGCCAGCCAGGATCATGGTATATTTGAGCATGGGATTTAAGCGTAGGCCCACCACAGGGCTCCAGGATCACCCAAAACACCCTACTGCCTATGCTGTGGCTGGGCTTCATATTTACATTCGAAGGATATTTTTGTTAGGTTTAAAATTTTACTTTGACAGGTATTTTAAAGACATTATTTCACCGTTTTCTGCCTTCTTTTGTTTCTCTTGAGAAGTGAGTCATTGGGCTAATTTCTGCTCCTTTGAAAGTGACACGTCATTCTTCTCAGTCCTCTTTTAAAATAAAATATTGGATTTGGCTGCTATTAGAGCAGGGCTAATTTGCTTCTGGTTTACCTTTATATCTGTAATAGAGCTATTTAAAGTTTCCACCACAAATGATGGGTCCTAGATTTCAATTTTTTTTCATCCAGAGGCTGTCGAAAGAGAGCTTCTTAGTCTCTTGGCTGCCTCATTTGGATCAGCAAAGCCCAAGGGGACAAAATTCTTAACTCACATTTCTAAATCTCCCCTCCCCATGTTTCTTTACCTGTAGGTCTTGTTTCAGTGGTTCTTTATTATCCTTCTTAGCCCTTCACTACACTTAAGCAAGTAAAAAAAAAAAACCTGTCCAGTTTTTTATATTATTCTCAGCTGAAAGATTGGTTTGAATTCCTTAGTTCAACATTACTGACAATTTCATTATCACTTCATTTTATTTTTTATTTTTTGGACTTACTATCTTTTTTAAAATTTGCTATAGGGTGTGTGTGCTTTCCAGAGAGAGTCAGAAAGAGAAAGAAAGTGAGACATCACCCCCTAGAGGGGCTGGCCATGCTGCAATTCTGTCTCCTCCATTATCCTCTCAGGATTTGGGGCATGAACGTATATGTCTAGCATGTTCCTCAAGTCACCAAGTCTAGGACTTGAACCAAACAGTCAACCATGTGGGACCCAGCTGTTTTAACTACCACATCATTTTAGTTCGACTGGCCTCCCTCAATTTATTTATTCATAGTTTTTACTAATATCTAAAATATTCTTATTTATTCATCTAACTCTTTTGTTTCGTTGTTTTTTTTGTTTTTGTTTTTGTTTTTTAAACCCTCAGTGGCTGCAACCCCCCACAAGATCAGAGACTTTGTCTTATTTACCGTCAGGACTCCACTCTCCGGTCCTGACCAGATCAGATTAAGCCTCTCTCTTCAATGTCTTCAATGTCCTCTCAACACCACATTCTTCTTGCGATCACTGGGCTTCCTCTAGTCCTGGTACTTTCCCAAACCCTCCCACCGCAGGGCCTGCATACTGAAGGAGGTCTCTGGATGCAAACCAGAACCTTCTCAGCCTCGTAGAGCATTGCATTTAACCATTGTACCCAGTCTGGCTCCTTCTAGACCTTTTTAAGACCTAGTTTCTTCATCTATAAAGCAGGGATGAGTCCTAGCTCATTGAATTCTCATGTCTATTAAATGAGTTTCTGTGCATAAGAGCCCACCACATTGCACATGATAAGTGATCATAAAATGCTAACTCTGATTATTGCTATTATTGTTGTTGTGGGTTATTCCTGTCTCCATTGGAGTATTCCTTCAGCAAGTCCAGCTGTTGGGAGGAGGGAACACAAATCACTTGGATCTAGAGTCTGAACGTGAGCTCTGATACTTGGGAGAATTGACCAACCTGAGAACCAATCAGGGGTCATGAAGAAAGGGAAGACTGGGAAGAAAGAGAGATTAAGGAACAGGATGAGGGTAAAAAACAAGAAGCCCATACAGTTCTGTCTGTCAGTCTGATCACCCATGTTTTCTCAACATCGGTTAGAAATCTCTTCAAAAGTCCTCCTAACCTTTTCCCAGAGCCCCCACCATGCTTCCAGCAGGCTCCATGGAGCATTTCAGCTCATTCCCAAGACCCAGTTACATTCAATTTACTTGAATTTTATCAGAGTGCCAGTCAGCAGTGTTCTAGATGAACTGCCCTGAATTGAGCAGAGGCCAGTGAGGTCTTGCCTGGAGCTCCTGTCTCACTCTCTGTTGTGACTCCCAGAGTTACCTTGGAGACTGATGACCTCACAGAGCCATTCCTGAACCTGCAGAGTCCTGACCCTGTCAGGGCATGATGCACTCTGGTCAAAGCAGCGTGAGATTGCCTTTGGCCTTAGCAGGAAAAGTGGATGTGCACCCTGCTTTTTGTTTCTAGAAGGTTCTGTTGCTGTTCAGACTGCAAACAGCAGCAAAGAGCCCAGGCATATCTGTGTCTTTTGGCAGTTTTCTTTGAGCTACTGATTTTAAGCAAGCCTGAAAGCAGGGACAATATAGGAGAGTCCAGGTGCCAGCTGCAGCTGAAAGCCAGTGTCATCCACAGGCCATCCCCCAGTGGTCAATGGCATCCTCTGCATCTTTGGAATGATTTTGGATCCATAAAGCCAGGATTGTTACCTTGCCTGGAGCATTGCTCTCTATTTATTAGGTAAAGGTTTATCAATACAGTAACAATTCATACTTAGCAAACTGTTATTTAACCACATGTTGATTTCATTAAGGCTAGAACACAGTAATTATTGTAATAACAGTGTGTGTTTCCCCCGTGCCCTCCAGAGAGTGAAGGATTGGAGGACAGTCCTTGCTTGATGGGCTAACATTGAATTTTTAGCTACCAGCTTGTGACTAGGAGGAAGAAAAGGAAAAAAGGGTTGAGCAAATGCTGGATTCAAAGACTTTAGTTACAATTACCAGAGTGTCAGTCAGCGGTGTTACTCTGATTAATTCATTGCCTGCCAAATATTTTTGAGTACTTGCTATGTGTCACGTGTCGTACTGGATGACAGGCCTAAAGGGGTGAATGAGATAGGCTCAGTGTATTCATTACCTTTTGTCACATAACAAGATGACCACAAAATTAGCGTCTTAAAATAATACATTTAAGATTTCAAGGTTTCTGTGGGTGAGTCCTCTAGAAGGCTGCTATCAAGGTGTCTGCTGGGGCTGTCTCATCAGATGATTTGACTGGGGAAGGATCCACTTCCAATCCCATGTCGTTGTTAGCAGGGTGCAGGCTTTTGCAGGCTGTTGAACTAAGAGCCTCAGTTCCTAGTGACTTGTTGCCCTCAGTTCCCTGCCACATGGCCCTCCCCGACATGGCCATCGAAATCTGCAAGGAAGGAAGCCTAGTAAGACAGACTTTGCCAACTTTGTAACATGATCTTTGAACTAACATCTCTGCCAGTTTGTGTGGGTTAGAAGCGAGTTGCAGTTCCTGCCCACACTCAAGGGCATGAATTCTAGGAAGGGAATGGGGGGTAACTGAGGACTATTTTAGAGTCTGTCTACTAGATCTTTGCTGTCGCTTAGTTTACAGGAACGACATTGATAGAATATAATTAATCATAATTTGAAGTGCGGTTCAGGCTAGGAGAGGGAAGAGCTAAGGCAATTCTTTCCCTCATTCAGTGAAATGATGGGATATTTGAGCTGCGATTAGCAGTATGAGAAGGAACTGCTCACAATCAGTTGTGGGATGTGTGTGCATGCGAGTGTGTGTTTGGAGGGGGCGGGTTATAGCATGAGAGTATGTGATACACAGAGGCTTCCAGGAAGAAGAATTCTTAAACATAAAATATTAGGATGAAAGAGAAACATAGGGATTACAGTTTACCAGCACTCAGTCTGGATACACATTGGACTCACCTGAAGAGCTCTTTTTTTAAAAAAAAATAATTATTCAATTCTGTTTATTATTATATTTAAAATTTTACTATAAGGCATATGCATTCACCAGAGAGCGATAGAAAGAGAGAGAGAGAAAGTGAGAAAGCAAGCTGCCAGGTCTGGTACTTGAATCACAGTCAGACATGTGGGAGTCCAGGGCCTTAACCACCTTGCCAGCAGATGGGCACCACATCTGAAGAGCTTTATAAACTCATGTTTAGGTCCCAGCCCAGAGACTGATGACTTGTTCTCAGGTGGATGTAGGCATAGGGATTTAAAAATCTCTGTAGAGGAATTTAATGTGCAGTTAGGTTGAAAACTAGTCCAACAACTTCCATTTTTCAGATAAGGAATCTAGAGTTCAGAAAGGAAACAGACGTACCCGAAGAGAACACAGCTATTATCTGGAAAAACCAGGGTGATGGATGGGAGGACGCTGAGCTGAAAGGAAGGAGATCTGGCTGTCTACTAACATGTCTCTTTCTTTTTCTAGGACTCAGTTTCTCCATCTATAAAATGACATGGGTCAGATCATGTCGGAGTCCCTTCTAATGCTGACAATACTCTGGTTCGATTTGGTTAAGCACCAGTTTCATAGTAGCGGCTTAACCAAAACAGGGACCTAGCTGCCTCTACTTGGGAGCTGTCTTTGAAAGCCTGGAGTCAGTGATGCTGAGACATGGCCAAGACCCTTCTATGAGTGAGGCTGCCTGATAGACCTGATGTTTCTGAACATGCCCTTTTACTGGAGACAATTTTGTATGCTGGAGTGTGCGAGAAGTTCACCCAGCAGGAGCTGTTCTGGCTGAGTTTAATCTATAGTGTGCGTATTAGTATTAAGGTTTTAATTACAACTGACATTTCCAAGACTACCTGTGAGGGAGCTCTGCTTTAATAAAAAGCACATCGTGGTGGCCTAGGTAACCCTCCCTCATGACCAGGCAGGTGGCTGTGGATTTAATGTAGGAGTACCCAGTTCTCTAGGACCAGCAGATGATGTAATGGTTATGTTGCTAGATTCCCACGTGGTCAACCATGGTTCGAGTCCCGGACCTGGCGGCTTAAAACTCACGCTGGGCACGTGTGCGTGCATGCATGAGTTTTTGCTTTGTGTCTGTCTGTCTCTGTCTCTCTGGCAAGCACATGCACCCTATAGCAAAAATCTAAGAAAAAATTTAAAAAGGAGTACCGAGTTCTCTCTTCTGTCTGCATTCGCTCTTTACCAGCTGGCTACCATGGACCCATCCACACCAAGTCATCACTGAGGAGGGGACAGTGCATTGGGACAGAGGTGTGCTGTTCTGGCCCTCTAGGAACCAGGACTCTCCTCCAGCTCTGGACAAGTGTGTTGACCCCACTGGGACTCAGTTCCTTCACCTGTAAAATAGGCTGCTCTGTTATCTACTTTTTAACAAGATACTTGCTAAACACTTTCTCTGGGTTTTAGCCCTCAGGAATTCACAACTGAGGAGCAGATGGAGCAGAGGCCAGAACATCAGACCCCAGAGGAGGTGACTCTAGTATTCATCAGGAATACTAGACAGTACCTGAGCATGACCAGGTAGGCTGGGCTGGTGGATCGTGAGACTCCCGGAGAACTTTCCTCTAAAGTTAGCTAATTAACTCACTAAACATTTATTTGCCAGACTCCCAGCCAAGCGCTTTTTAGACACTGTTCATTTTGTGTACAAACACATGACAGAGGCCGGGTATCCACAGGAAAGGAGACAGAGAAAGCCCTCACCTCACAACCATCCCAACAGATGAGGAAACTGAGGCTCAGGGGTTTCAGGAACTTACCCGAGTCACAGAGCTAGTAAATGACAGACCTGAGATTTGGGCCCAACTCTGTCCTTTGGCCTTTCCTTGTGGTCTCTCAAAGTTATTCCAAAGTGCCTTGGCTTGTTTCCGAAGTCAGGTTCCCCTGAAATGTGTGTCCATATTCTCAGGACCATTATCCCCTTGCCACCACTCCAGCCTGAGGACGGACTTTCATTTCTTCTCCAGATTCTCTCCATCTCACTCGGGCTGCTGTGAAAAACCACTCTTGCACCTCACTGAGATCTGTTGTTTCTTCTGCTGAAACACCCTTCCCTGTACTTTTTCAACATCAGAATATATACTTACTGTTTTCAGGCTCAGTTACCTGCCCCTTTCTCAGAGAAAATGTACTTATTGTTTCCAGGCTCAGTTACCTGCCCCTTTCTCAGAGAAGACTCCCCCAACTCTGAGACAGAGACTGTCCCCAGGGCTCACCCAACACCCACCTCCTTCGGAGCACGGTTCCCTCGTGTGCATGCCTGCCTCTCCCACTCGCCTGCGTGTTCTCTGAGGGCAAGGACCGTGTGGCCCTTGGTGCTGCTGTGTCCACAGTTCCTGGCACTCTCAGTCAATGTTCATGCAATAAATGCATGAGGACAGCACGGCCTCTCGCCCCTGGTCTATACCCCAGAAAGAGACTTCCCTGTAGTCCGGCTCCATCCTTACTCTTTATCCCAGCTGCTGACTGTGGGTTTAGGCCTTAGATGCTTCATTAACTAATAATAATGAGTCACTGTACTAGCCTCGGGAGCATTGTAAATGATACAGTGTCAGGAGAAGGCAGTGGGATGTGGAATTTCAATGAGGCTGGAGTGGTTCTTAAAACAGAGAAAATGCCATGTGCAATCTTTTTCTCTGTTAAAGCTCCCATACGCCAGGCCTCCAACACTAACTTAGAGCTGTTCCATTATTCAATTTCAGTTCTAAATCTAGGCTGATTGTTGACATGCAAACTACTGCCACATGCCAGGAGTGGTAGACTGAGTAACGGCCCCCAACGATATCCGTGTCTGAATCCCTGGAAGTTACCTATGTAGCATGAGGGACTTTGCGGATGTGACTCAGCTAAGGACCTTGAGAGGGAGAGATTATCCTGGATCGCCTGGGTGGGCCCCAGTGAAGTGACAGTGTCCTGTCGGAGGCAGAGGGAGATCTGATTGTGACAGCGGAAGCAGAGACTGGACTGATGAGCTATGAAGATGGAGGAAGTGCTCTCAAGCCAAGAGTAAGTAGGCCACCAGAAACAGAAAAGGCAAAGGAAGATTTTTTTCTTCAAAGCCTCCAGAGCGGGACCAGCAGTTGGCGTAATGGCGATGTTGCTGGACTCCCATGTAGTCAGCCATGGTTTGAGTCCTGGACCCGGTGGCTTAAACTCGCACCAGGCGCGTGTGCATGTGTCCCCAAGATCCCAAGAGGAGAATGGAGGAGGAGGGATTGTGGCATGGCCATCCCCCGTGGTGGGTGATTTCTCGCTTTCTGTCTCTGTCTGTCTCTTTCTGGTGAGCGCACGTGCCCTACAGGAAAAATGTCTCCAAAAATAAATAAATAAATAAGAAGCTTCCAAAGGAAACAACCCTACCAACATCTTGAATTTAGCCTAGAGAAACTGATTTCAGACCTCTGACCTTCAGACTGGTAAGAGAAGAAATTTCTTTTAAACCACGAAATATGTGGTAATTAGTAACAGCAGCACAGGAAAACCAATACATCAGGTTACTACTCCCTCTTCTGAAGACACCTGATGGAATATCGTATTCTTTTCTGGATGCAGTCTCAAAATGATTAGCACAGTGCATCTGGCAATCATTAACAACTGATCAGAATGGGAAAGGAGAAATGGAACCCATTTGCTATTCTAGAACAGGTCCAACTAGCTCCTTCAAAGGATAGAGAAGTGGAAGCCCAGAGAGGTGAAGTGATTTTCTCAAGCACACACAGCCTGTTATGGTAGGAGCATCTCCTTCAGGTCAAGATTCTTTTCTCTGTGCTCTTGAAGGCCCCGTAGGCAGAAGCATCAGTGATGATAGAACATTCTGGAGTGGCTTGAATCCTTCTGCAGGGATGTTAATGTTTCTGAAGCCAGAGCTGCTTCAGAACTGGTCCTGCTAGCCCCCTTCTCTGGGTCCGCTTACTGGCCCTCCCTGAAGGCCAGGCTCTGCAGCAGCACACAGGACAGCTTTTGCCAAGGACTGGACTCCTGGGGCAAATTTATTCATCAAAGCTCTCAATGGAGATCCCAGCCACTCTGCTAATGACTTACTTGGGGAATCTTTCTGCTTTGCTCTAATCGCTCCCTCCGGAAACCTGAGCTTGTGAAATGAGAGTCTTTAGGGAGGCTGAGAGCTGTTATCTAAGGAGTAGATAGTGGGGCATTAGCCTCGCCAGCAGGTGGGTGAGTTTACAACCTCACAGGAAATGATCCCTTGGCTGCCAGATTTACTAGCCAGTCTTCCCCAGGGATCAGCCCCTGGCTGAGTGGGTCGCCTCCTCCTGCTCCAAGACCCTCAGAGGCTTCTCACTGTTTCCCACGCTTTTTCTTCTGAGGACATTCCCAGGTCCTGACTGAGCCATATCCCTCCTTTCCAGCCTTATATTCATCATCTTTCCTCTTACAGCTGTTGCTGCGAACTCACTGCTCTCTAAGACTGGGAAAGAGCTTGCCCACTCATAGCAGGACTGAGGACAGGACAAAAATGTCCAAGTCCTACCCAATTTTTACCCTGCTTCCTACCACACCAGGCAGGAGACAGACCACTGATAACATACAAAAGCCCTAACTCAACTCATAGTCGTGGTTTCTAAGATTGTTAAAATTCCATCGAAACAGGTCTCATAATCTGGACTTGTGTGGACCATCCCCACTCTGTGCCACCGAGCTAGGTACAGGGGTACAGGCGTGTGCCAGTTGGAAAAGATTCTCGGTCTCAGATAGGAGCTTCGAGTCTAGAGGGGAAAGGCAGTAATAATGGAGAGTGACAGGGTACGGGGAGGTGCTGAGAGCCACAGGAACAGGAGAAGGGACCCTGTCATGATGCAGGAGCGGTCAGAGTGGACTACCTGGAGGATGTGCTCTTAGCTTGAGATATGTGGTCATTTGCAAGCGAAGAAGACAGGAAGGGTGTTCTGGGCAAAGGTTTAGACTAGGCAGAAAGTGCCCACATCCTGCACATTTTCTTTTTCTTTTTTAATATTTATTTAATAACATTTGTTTTATTATTGCTTTTTAAGTTGACCAAAGAGAGACACACACACAGAGAGAAAGGGAAAGTGAGAAAACAAGCTGCCAGGTCTGGGACTTGAACTGTCGTCGACTATGTGGGAATCCAGTACCTTTAACCTCCATGCCACCTGCAGGTCTTCATTCTGTGGGTTTTCATCAGAGACTAGCTAGAGTGATGGATGGAGGAGAATGAGAGTAAGGGCTGGGCCTGGACAAAGCTCCTGCTTTTAGCCCAAAGGAGAGAGGGTGCAGAGTATATGGGCATCCCTTTCTATTCCTTCAAGACTTACTTACATGGGGGCTGGCAGATGGCATGGTGCTTAAGGGCACTGGATTCCCACATGGCCAACTGTGGTTCGAGTCCTGGACCTGGCGGCTTCCTTTCTCGCTTTCTCTTTCCTTCTCATTCTCTATCTGTTCAAATTTTAAAATAATTATAACACATAGAATTAGATAAATAAATAATTTTTTTTTTTTTTTTTAAAAAAGAAGACTAACTTGTTTGAATGGAAGACTAGGCTGGGCCCTGAAGCTTGAGCAGAGTGGGCCAGTTTGGAGACTTTCGCAGGGCAAGCCTGAGGCTGCAAGAGTGGAAGAAGTGAGGGCTGAGTGAGGGAGACGAAGCTAAGAACAGACTTAAGAGAGAAAGGTGGGATTGTAGGGGGAGAGAATATCAAGTTTTCACCACAATCTTGCTGTAAAGCTTGAGGCTTAGCCTCAGTTTTCTTCATCTGTAAAATGGAGTCAGCTCACAAGGCTGTGGCAAGGATTAAATAAGACACTATACATTCAGTGGCGAGCATGGAGCCTCACACACAGTGCGTGGTTAGTAAATCACAGCTACTTTTATTACCATTCCATGTGTTCTCTTTCAATAAGTAGTTACTGAGTACCTACCTATGCCAGGTACTGTTCTAGGGGCTAGGATTATATCAATGAACAAACTGACAAAAATTCTTGTTCTTGAGGAGGGTACACCCTGTAAGGAGGGACTTATTACTCCTGGTTGTTTTTTTTTTTTTTTTTTTTTTTGGGGGGGGGGAAAGTAGGGGGTGTACACTCTCCAGGAAGACAGAGAAAGACAGAGAGAAAGAAAGTGAAATATCACCCCCAAAGGGGATGCCCACAGTGCAGTCCTTTCTCCTCCATTCTCCTCTCAGGATCTTGGGCATGCACGCACATGCACCCAGTGTGAGTTTAAGCCACTGGTTCCAGGACTCAAACCGCAATTGGCTACATGAGAGTCCAGTGACATAGCCATTATGCTAACTGCTGGTCTCATTATTACTCCTGTTTTGTAGTTGACAGGATGCTGAGAAGTCAAGAAAGTTAGCACACACGTGAAGCTCCAGGCTATGTGATAGCATACCCAAGGCTCTCTCCACCACCTCATCCTACCTCCGTCTATGAGGCAATGCAGAATTAATACTGTCTGCATGGCATCAATTACATATTTTCAACATAGATTTTCTATGATGGTCCTGATTTTAAGCCTCTCTCTGATCATCCCTTTAAGTCACATGTACCTGGCAGACCATGTCTGGGGTTATGGTTGGAAAGATGTGGTTGCTCTGCCCACATCTTTCAGGTAAATGGGGCTGGTAGGTAGCATGGTGGTTAGGGTGCTGGACTCTTACATGGCTGACTATGGTTTAGGTCCCGGACCTGGCGGCTTGCTCTCTCTCTCTCTTCTCTGTATCTCTCAGGTCAAATGAAAGAATAATGATCAGTAATAAAGTTAATTAATTCTTTTTTTAGAAAAAGAATTTCAAGGGAAGAAGTCATCATAGCTGTGGTAATGGGGAAGGTTTCCTGGAGGAAGCTGGACTTCCAGCAAAGGGAAAAGAAAAGGGCAGCAGAGGGATTGGAAACAGTTTAAGCATGACTCCAGGCTGAGGGAATGCACTGCGTAGGGACGATCGACATGTGTGTGCGTGTATTAATTACTTCAGTGGTATTTACCGGACACCTAGCATGTCAGGTACTGTATTGGGCTCTGGGTAGTCACAGTGAAGAAGGCGTACTGGGTTCCTCCCTTCACGAAGCTGAGAGGAAGAGAGAAGGTGCAAGGAGAAGGATGGGGACGGGAGCCATGCGGAGTGGGCACCTGCAGATAAGGGCATTTATCCCAGCAGAGACCCCTTTCCCTGCATTTTGTTTCCTCAGCTTTGTCTCTTGACTCTGGTCCCTCCGCTCATGCTCTGTCAATGAGACAGGAAGCACAGACTCCTGGGAGCTGCTGATGGGCTCAGGAAGTCCCAGATGCCAGCATGGAGGCTGCATGGAGAGCAAGGTGCCTTGGCTCATCCTTTCTCTGATGTTCCCTTTTGGTGTCAGTCTTTTATCTACTCGCTCAGTGCAGACAATCGATGCTAATCCAATCTTCTGGGACCAAATGAAACAGCCTGCATTTAAAGGGCTCGGGCTCTCTTTTCTGATTACCAAGCGACCTACATAATTGCTCTCACCCCAGCCTGCCTGGGAGGGCACTGCCATTGACAAAGCCCAACCAAGCGCTCTCTCTGATGGGAACTGGCTAGGATTTCTTCAGCACTGGGCAAGCACAGAGGAGACCAAGGCAGCAAGGATTCCAGAGGAATGTTTCTTGCCCCAGATCTGCAATTAACTCCCTATGTGACTGCGCAAATATCCGTTCCTACCACTATCTACCTTGTGTTCAGCTTCAACATTTGTAATAAAAAACAGTTGAACCAGGCCTTCTCGAAGGTCCCACACTGCCCAAGATTCTCAGTCATTCCATGCTGCTGGGTCACACCTACCATCTTAGCTCAAAAGTCTCCAGGGACTATTTTGGAACCCATACAGTAGGTCTGAAAACGTAACATGACAATATCTGAGGGATGTGTGGGCATGTATGTATTCAAACATTCCCAAGACCCATCGAATGAAAAAAACCAAGATGGAGAATGGTTTCAGTGGTGTAATGCTATCACACACACATATTACACATATTCTCATATACACATGCCCCTGCACT